CAATGTCTCCCACGCTAAATTCAAAGGTATCTGAGTTGATATTCCATTGCAAACCTAAGGTGCCTTCTATGGGTAGTGTATCAACGGACAGATCTCTCACCGTGGGTGATCAATCTTCTGGACTTATTTCCTTAAAGATTTCCAAGCTGTTTGAGACCCATTTTGTCAAACGAAACCCAGCCTTACTTATGGGTCTATCCAAAGCTGATCGCAGACACAGTATCATCAAAGGATGCTAAACAGTCATCTACATAGAAACACCGGTCAACGACATCTAGCAATTCACTGGGACCAAACATGGACACTGCTTTACGTAGAGCGAAATTAGCACAAAAAGGAGAAATGTAGCACCAAACAGATGAATAGTCATCCTATATTCGGATACTCTGCTGTGAGGGTCACCGTCGAAACACAAGAACCTCAAATGGTCTCTATCACGTTCTGGCACCTTTACTTGTAAAAACATCTCTTCTATGTCCGCTGCAATGGCAACCGAAGACATTCTGAATCTCAGCAGCAATTCTACTAGTGATCCCACGCAATCCAGGCCACTATACAAACTTTCATTCAAGGGAACACCATCGTGTTTCACAGAGCGATCAAAGACTACGCGAAGCTCGCTGGGCTTCTCGGGGCTAAAGACCGGGTGATGTGGTAGATACCATTTCCCCGGTTCATTCTGATTAACCAGTCTTTCCACGTAACCTTTAACTACGTGCTTGTCGATGACCTCTTTATACTTGGTTCACAGATCTGAATTTACTAGGAATTTCTTTCTTATACTTAGAAGTCTCTTCATAGCCACCTCTCTGTTACAGACCGTCCGTTTATCCTTGGACCTCCACGGTGATCCCACGATGAATCGTCCGTTCTCATACAGTCTAGTGCGCGCGCGATTCTGATCCGATGTCACAATGTCTCTCCACAACGTGGATATATTTTTACTGACTTCTAGAATATTGTAGTGGATATTATACCACTCCTCAACTTTAACTTATATTGGCTGCAACCCCAGCTTCCAATTACGCAGATGTGTCACCGCCAGTTATCAAGTTTGAATCCACTCTTTCGCAGGGTTCATCCTCCTTTTTGTAATTTAAGAACAACGTCACGCAAAAGAAAACTATAGAGAAGTTCATTATTTTGCAGTTCATAAGTCAGGATCAATTGTCAGGATAATTGGTTTCTATATAGTCTGTATTTTACGGTTTCATACTTTTGTAGATTTATTGTTTATTTGTAAGCAATAAAATTCCATACCGTGCCCATAGTAGTTCTTAGTCTGGTTATCCACTCGATATACTATTTGTATATATACCTGTTTTCAATTTAGCTCAGCTTCTACTTCAAACCATACTGATCTGTATTCAACAATGACAACGTAATAAACGAGTACCTTCTATACGTAAGAATAGTTTGGGTCACTCAGCGAAGAAGATACGTACATCAAGTAGCCTCAACAACGTCCCCGAAGTCATTGTGGCCGATTTGTTATCAGGGGTATAGGCAACTGATAAACAAAATAAGTTGGACCTTATTTCTCTAGGAAACTCTGTGAAGGAATTAAATGAGAATATAAACACTATTAGGTCGTTACTGCTTCTTTGTAACCCGACTCATGATACTAATCCGGAAAGTCTGCTGAAGTCTGAGTGTATGTTAAACTTTATAGCCAATGAAGTGATTAAACGAATCATATCTTCGTAAAACGTTCTCGTTTACTATCTGCCTGATCGGACGCCTCTGGACGAAATTAAAGTGACATGTCTCCAAGCGTGCGGCATGGCATCAGCGAATTGCCACCTAATCAGACTCAGGAAAAAATCAGGAAAGTACACTTCTGTACTGTTTGAATTCAGGAGTCCTAATGATGCTAGGAAATTCCAGTCGTCTAACAAGTTGATTAATTCATCTACACCTTATGGTAACGTTAAATTTGCTCATGACCTAACTCTATGTCAAAGACGCAGCCGCGCAAGTGTATCAAGTGTCGCAAAACACATACGTAACTGCAGAATGTTCTACAAAAGACTCTCTCGCCCTAAATTTAGGTAAACCTAATACTACAGACACGCATGAAAATGAAATACCCTTAAATAATAAAGCTTTTCCTATTAAACCCAATAGTGAAGCTACTATGGTCATAGACTTAGATGCATCTTTAGAGTTATGCTCGCTAGACACATCACCATGAGCTGCTAATACCACTACCAATGTTACGCAAAAGGCGAAGCTCGAGGGAGGGTGGCGCATGCTCATCAGTAGATATGGTAGTGGTCACTAAAGTGAATCGCCTCATTCCGCAGGAACAGCAATATGCAATTTGACGGCTCGAGATTTTATGAGGACTTGAAAGATTGATTTAATTGATGATTGAGTACTCCTCTTGGCTCTAACTATTATTACCACGGCCACTTACTTTTAAAACCCATAATTGTTTCTTGCCACATCAATTCTCCTACTATAAGAAGAGACACAATAAGTAGACGATGTCTGTGTACATGTTTAAAATCTATCTATGTATATTACAAGCTTCATTTGTATCTTTTGCTTTTGCTTTACTTTATTCTACCATTTTATAATCCATTGTTCTCATGTACACATACACACAGAGAGAGAGACACTGTGAGGCTGTATTACCCAAGACCACTTATCTATATCATGTAAAATCTGTCATCTGTTCAAATGGACCTGTTTCAACCACTGTTGTATTATACACTATATTTGATATTATGTGTTTGAATGGAAGAGTAGAATCACATAATGATTTTCAGGATCATGATCCATGATTCAGTGAAATCATCTTAACAGTTTTTATACTAGTATTGTCAATTATTATTACTATTATTCATTGTTAACTTATCTTCTTATTTTCACCCTCTCTGTCTGTCCGTGTCTTATGTGTGAGCACGCAAGTATATGTTTTCTTTTATAGCTCCATTCCCTTGTCAAATGTGATTGTTGCTCATAATCACATTAATGATATAATAATAATGGCAATAATAATACTCAAAATTCCTGCACTCATCACTTGTTTTTTCTTGCTTTCTCTTCTTCTTTTGTTAAACTGTATACTCACACTTATTTACTACTCTGAAAATAGTTGGTGAATTTTATTTATTATTTTTTGTTTTTGTTTGACGAGGGTGAGTACTCCCCATCTACCCTTGATCTCGTTCTCGTTTGTGTGTGTATGTATGTAGTTGTACTTACAGGGTAGCAGAGAAGAGGGATATATATCTGTAGTAAGTGACATAGATATACTCAAGTGCCGGCTATAATGACAAATAACAATTTTGTTTTCTCTCTCTCTTGACAAAAATCTTTTCAAGTTCACTCACTATATTATTATAGTTTTAACTCTTTATTTTTAAACACATCTGCTTTGCCCTACTTTTCTCTTATACTGTAATAATTATGTAGTACCGCCTACAAACACACACACCTAGTCAGTAGTTATATTATCCTCTTTGTTGTTGGTGTGTTTCCCCTCCCCTTCCCCCACCACCAATGTAGATCGATCTGTTTTGCCTACTGCTATTACGACAACGACAATGACGACAAGAACAACTACTACTGGTGTTGCTGTCACTGCTACGACTACTACTACTGCTACTACTGTGGTGAGAGATGGTTGCTAGCCAAAATGGTTGACAGTAATTGAGGTCAGGGTCAAGATGGACAGGTGGATACAGAACTGACACAGCCACAAGAGATGCAAAGTTAACTTTGTGTGAGAAACAACCAATCAACAGACTGTATTTTCTACTAACATTAACCTACAATAATGTACGTCAAAATCTATAAATATGCGTTGATTTTCCTTAATAAACGATCTGTTGCCTGGCCCTTGTCTTCTGTTGTTACATTTGGTGTCGCTACCTACCGACAAATGGAAAGCCTATGCCCTGCAGTTTTTGATGGAGACATATGGATCATCGGGCAGGACTTCGAGGCTTCTTCGCAGTTGAGTGGCGTTGAAGATCTGTCAGCGATGAGGCTGCTACTTGGGACGCTGCTGGGAGGTCGGGAGAAAGCAGCATATGAAAGCGAGAGGCGAAATACCTACGAATGTGCGACAGGGTCAGGCAAACTGTTTCCAAAGTGGGAAGGACCATATATGGTCACCTTGAGATGCGGTTACGCAGACACAATCGCAATGATAAACACAAAGAAACAGGTGAACACCCGCAAGCGCCAAGATTCCAGACAGCAAAACAAAAGAGCAAAGCCCCAAGAACCGAGAAGACCGAACCAACTTCAGTCGCAAGTCTTTGACGGGGGGACGAGTGTGGTGAGAGCTGTCTACTAGTCAAATTGGTAGACAGTAATTGAGGTCAATGTTTATGTAACAAATATTAGTCATGTTGTGGTGAGAGATGGTTGCTAGCCAAATTGGTTGATAGTAATTGAGGTCAGGGTCAAGATGGACAGGTGGATACAGAACTGACACAGCCACAAGAGATGCAAAGTTAACTTTGTGTGAGAAACAACCAATCAACAGACTGTATTTTCTACTAACATTAACCTACAATAATGTACGTCAAAATCTATAAATATGTGTTGATTTTCCTTAATAAACGATCTGTTGCCTGGCCCTTGTCTTCTGTTGTTACACTACTACTACTACTGCTGCTGCTGGTACAGCTGTTGAAGATGTTGTAAAATCTACTACACCAAGTGCACCAAGACGTCGTACAGGGAATCATCGATTAACAGATCAACAAGTACATGATAAACTAAGAGTTATTGTTAGTAAAGGTGATCCATATAAGAAATATCGTATGGTAGGTAAGATTGGGCAAGGTGCATCTGGTGTTGTATATAGTGGATATGAAGTGGCCTCTGGTAATTTAGTGGCTATTAAACAAATGAACTTAGCTCAACAACCTAAAAAGGAGTTGATTATCAATGAAATTCTAGTCGTGAAGGCTAACAGTCAAGCAAATATCATAAATTATCTTGATAGTTATTGAGTATCTACATCAGTCCCTTTCAGTATGGATCCTCATAATAATAATGCTGACAATAGTCTGAATGGTTCAAATCATAAAAATCAACAAAATCATAATGATAGTCTTAATTCATCAACACTTAGCTCTGGTAATTCATCATCAAAAGGCGAAGAATTATGGGTTGTAATGGAGTATTTAGACGGCGGCTCACTGACTGATGTTGTCACCGAGACGTGTATGGATGAAGGACATATTGCAACGATATGCCGAGAGATTTTATATGCATTTGAATTTCTACACGCCAATCATGTTATTCATGGTGATATCAGATCAGATAATATTCTACTTGGTATGGATGGATCTGTAAAATTGACAGATTTTAGTTTCTGTGCACAATTACGTAATGATGGAACACAACGTTCCACTATGGTTGGCACACCGTATTGGATGGCACCAGAAGTTGTTTTACGCAAACAGTATGGTCCAAAAGTTGATATATGGTCATTAGGTATTATGACTATTGAAATGGTTGATCGGGAACCACCCTATTTGAATGAAAATCCCGTTCGAGCTCTTTATCTAATCGCTATTAATGGTAAACCAGGAATTAAAGAACGCGATCGTCTATCAAGTACATTTTCTGATGTTGATGATGATGATGAAGAAGGCGAAGGCGAGGAAGAAGAAGAGGAAGACGAAGAGGACGATGAAGAAGGTGTAGTAGTCGAGGCTGAGGAGGAGGAAGAAGAAGAAGAGGACAGTGAAACTGATGAACAAAGTGAATTAAGCAATTATGAGATTATTACATCTCAAGTCACTGTTGAATGGATGACAAGCAGTGAGACTGGAAGTAACTTACCTACACCAATGACAATGTCAAAAGAATCTGAACATGCTATGATAAACGAAATCGAAGGATAATGATAGCCTAGACAGACCATGGTTCTACCTTTAAACATATACCATTCGCTCAGCCTATTGTTGAGGTGCGACCACGTGGGCTCTGCACACATTTATGGGGCATCTTATAAATTGACATGCTTTCCTTTGTCGAATCTTCGAATATCACTTCACAATGTCTCATCTCATTCTTTTTCTAATAACGTCTTCACTTAATAATAATAATAGTATATTCTCATTTTTGTACATGAGGGACGCCAGTTTACAGGCATCATCAATTCGATAAATTACATATACGATTAGTAAGTATAGTTAGTAATGATAATATAATAAGGTACATATTTATTCCTACAAATGTAGGGCACACAAATTGTGTAGGCATGGATAAGCATTATTTGAGTGACATATTTAAATTACATGATTTACGGTTAAATAACATGGTTGCTGTCATTTTATCTTTAGTTTGTGGGAAAAATCGGATAACTGGTGATTCAATGGAACACATCACTTGCTCATTATATTCCATTAAACCTAACATTTTATAGCTCTTTATGAATCTGATTCGACTTATTCTATTCCTATTCTCTATAGGGTACGGTTGTGCACCAAATACACAAAAAGGTATGAAATTAAAACAACCGGCTTGTGCATAATTGTATTAAAACCAAAAGTGGACATCATGATAGTAAGACCTATATGGGTAGCATTATACATTGCAAATGAACTTTGTCAGCCTAGGGATTATGGTCTATCATTGTATTTCCTTTATGAATGCATCTATTAATTATACATTTCACTTACCTATTTCATTACACTTTAATGATTTACCTTAGCACCTTTACTTTTCTAAAACAGCTTACTATCCCTTGTAAACGTTGTACTTACCTCAATATTGGTTGGTTATCGTATGTCCACAAACATGGGTTGAAAACGAAACGAAGTCGATTTTCCCGCGCAACCTGGAGGACTACTGTGCAATTCAATAATAATACGGCCTGGGTCAGGCAATGAGTGTATTTATACATATATATCAAATATTTAGCTGTTCAAACATTAATAGTAGTCAATCTACTATTTGACATTATATCATACTTGATCGTGCCTGTAAAAATGGCATGCATTTTCATGTAAATTTATTTTCATATAAAGATATACATTATTATTGTTACTATTATTATTATAACCTCTCCGAGTAGCACTCAGACTAGTGAGCATACAAAACAAAGTAACGTAACCCTGCCATCCAGAATACCTGTACTCAAACCCGTCACTGATAGGTGTCTCAGCAGCAAACCGAATAACACTAACTTAAGCAACTCTCATCTTACCATTAACCCAGAGAAGCTGAATAAGTCTTCATACTGCCATAAATATAACCTCAATGAAAAAGAGGTTACCCGCCGATTCATCCAACATCGAACAAACCTTCATCCGATAGACACAACAGACGCTATATGTCTGGGCACTCCAAAAATAAGTTGGAACCCTACGGGCAGGCATACACCTATCCCGACACAACTCTCTAATCTATGGCCAATATAGACAAAAGTTTGATCCAGGACACCTACAACAAGGAACAAGTGGGTTGGGCTTGTTTCCTAAAAGTGGCAATCTGACTCACCACATCCCCGACAACCACCAGATACAGACCACCCAAGATCATCGATGGACTAATATTTACGAAAATAACTTAAACAAACAAAATATCAGTCATAACTGCGATGCATGTAACTTTACTCCAGCATACTATCCACAAGAAATACCTACCTCCCCTTCATCCAATCTAAATTTTCTCAGCCAACACGACATTTTAGCCTCAATATTGACGCAAATAGCACACATACTGTCAAGTCACCTATCACTGGAGGGGAGGGTGATGCATTGGAGCCACGGTATTGTGAACACTTCACACCCACCGGGGTAACCAATGATCGCACATCTCTCTGTGCTGATACTGGTGTAGTGCACCTTTCCAGCACTGCCAGTAAGTTGCCACCATTTGAGTTAGCACCTATCAAACAATCTGCTCTAGAGGCTATAAACCTTGAAGAAAACTTTTTTAAAGATATATGCGATTTCACCGTCACCCATAACTCCCTCTCATTCTGTCCCATCAATGCTCGCTGCTTACTTAACAAGATGTTTGACTTCAAGACACTATCCTTAATTTGCAACCCGTTTCTCATAATGATTACTGAAACATGGTGCACTCCTCAGATTTGCGATGAAGATATTTCAATTGATAAATATTACGTATTCAGAGGCGACAGAAACCATGGCAGAGGAGGAGGATGTGCTATATATATCAGGTCTGATATTAAGGCCACACAGTGTTTCTACCCAGAGCTCATCACAGATAACGACTCAGTCTGGGCTGTTCCAAGGCTGTCTCACTCCATTTCCCATCTTATAGGTTGCATCTATCATCCCCCCACGCTCAGCTGTTATAGGTGATATAAAGCTTGCTAGCACGTTCGCTTACGCCACTTCACTACCTCACACGGCTAAAATTATATGCGGGGACTTTAATATGCCCGAAGTAGTCTAGCAACCACTTTCCTCACAAAAAACGGCATAATGAATTTTTTAATATAATAGAATCAAAAGACTGGCAACAACACGTACAGCATCCTACCAGACTATCTAAGATTTTAGATCTAGTTTTCACTAATGGTACCATTCCCACTACCCTTCGAGTACGTAAGGAGTTTCCCGGTAGCGACCACAAAGTAGTATTTCGTACATTCAATATTTGTACTAGAATCAGTTCGAAAATAAGCGCCAACAAAGTGTCACTCAGGGGTTATAGACATGCTCAGTGGGATGACCTGAAACCATACATACGCACCCTAGACTGGGAGCCATACTTTACATGCAGCTCGGCTATAGAGACAAACAAATTACTCTATGAAAACCTAGGATTTGTTCATGATTTCATCGCTCCAGTAAGACTTGTGAAAACGAGGCCTAAACAGTCCGACTTCATCCCCGTATGGATTCGAAACTGACTGCGTAAGCATGCTAGGAAATTCTACAGATGTAGTGACTTTTCATCCCTCAGTGCTCTCAAGCAAACTTACGATTCATACAAATCTAATGAGTCATCTGAGTACATCAAACTAGAACGCATCCTCCTTTCACGGTCCGATAATACAGAGGCATTAGTAAAACTTATTAAGTCACGAATTAACAACAGCAGAATAAGTATCCCTAACTTTTTACTAGATGGAGAAAAGCTATACGAAGACCCGCAGGAGATATGCGGGTCCAGCTCCCACTTTTCTAGCTACTTTACTAACGAAGAAGTAGTAGGTAGTCTTGATGTTCCGATAATACCATATCACTTTTTGGGTAATATAACATTTACCCAGCAAAAGATTTCCTCCGCTAAAGCATCCCTCCGGACATCATATAATGCCGAACCTGATAGAATTCCATCTATCTTGTTGAAAAGAGGGGGTGGTGAGGACATATCCATTATTAACCTAAAGTTTTTCAATCTCTCTTTAAATAATGGCAGTTACCCAGAGTGCTGGAAGCTGTCGTTTATAACCCTTAGGCACAAACAAGGACCAACTTCTAATATTGAAAACTACCGACCGATCAATATCACGTCAGTAGTTTCCAGGGTTATGGAAAAAGTTATGGGGCAAGATATTGCTTCATACCTCCACCTTCACAAAGTGTTTACTCTAGCACACCACGGCTTCTTGAAAAGTCGATCATGCTCCACCTGCCTACTTGACTACTTTGATGATGTTACTGCTAAGCGTGATCATGGTTTGCTTGTCAAAACTTTCTTCTTTATTTCAAAAAAGCCCTTGATAAAGGCCCACACAAGAGACTAATTCCTAAGCTAAAGTCGTACGAGTTCCAGGACCCCTTGTTATCCTGGCTAATTTCTTTCTTGGGAGATCGTTCCCAAGTTGTGAAATTTGCAAATAATTACTCGTCACCCAGACCTATACGAAGTGGAGTGATTCAAGGTAGTGTACTAGGTCCACTGCTTTTCGTAATCTACATTAACGACATCTGCAGCGTAATCAAGCATGGTACCCCATACCTCTTTGCTGACGAATAAAGATTGTATACAGCTTCCCCATTCAACACTGAACGAGGGATTCACACATATTCAAGATGATCTGGATAGGTTACATAACTGGAGCACTGATTGGCAACTGCCAATCAATTCTGACAAATGTGGTGCCCTATATTTCAATAACTCCCACCCGTATTTCAGGTTACAACTAGGTGACTCCTCTCTCCAAACCCTCAATTCCATGAAAGACCTGGGAGTTACCTACTCACAAAAATTAACATTCAGTCAGTACGCAAAAGCACTTGTTTCTAAATGCCGAAGACTCACAGGCATGTTACATCGAAAATGTACACAACTGAGGCTAAAGTCGTTTTATACAAAGACAGGGTTCGTTCAGTAATTGAATACTGCACAATTGTCTTCAGTTACATGAATGGGCACGACAAGATTCGTATTGAAAATACACAGCGAACAGCGAAAAAATTCAACTACGAGTTCAAAGTTAGAAGATACTTAGTGTTGTGTGTGAGGATGAGTATGTGTCTCTACTACGTAACGCGACCAGCCTCACTGTGCTCAACTTAGAGTAGTAACAGTTTAATGAGCGTCCTACCTAACTTGTAGCTACTTATGAGTCAGGAATGGGAAAGACTCATTTACTCACAAGAGCAATGTGTCCACATAGAACGAAGTTTACGTTTATTTTGGTGGAAAAAACTTTCGAACCAGCATAGCTGAGCTAGGGAGACTGAGAGTGCATGTTTACCAACCCATGGATAGCACAAAATGCCATCAGAACCTCGTCGGATACCTGCTTTATAAGATGAAACTTAAATCGTCCTAAGCATCTGGCGGAGGTCTAGAAGTTCATTAGGTTAACCCGATGTAGTCTATTCATCTAACCTTTTGTTCTATTTTTGAATAAGGAAGGTGCACTACGAGTGTTTCACGCATCAAAGGTATACCACAACCAATGCATAGTGTTTAGGACTGTTATTCTTTTTCATTCGCGTATTATATCGCATTCATATTTTCAATGAACACAAGCTTTGGGCTATTTGTTGCTAGTATAAGCACATAATCCTAAATCGTGGCACATCCGAACTGGTTATCGTCAAATTGGATCAAATGTGTGAGGTCACCAGTAGTTTTGAAATAAAGTTCAGCATTTACTTCTGGGTATTTCTGGCACACAACTACGTGTAAACACACTATTACCAGAGCTATAGGAAATACTAGTTAACTGTTTCATGAAGTCGGATGCAACAAAATTTATTGCTGCCTTTCCAACCAAGGTATTCGGAAGAATACCCAGACCCTCAGCACCTGCTATCAACCATGAATTCGACCACATTTTTCACTAATCGTTCATTCACCTTAGTGATCATCCAATTTCACTTTGTTCCACGCTTTTCCGTTCCTTGTCCCTCGTTTGTATGCCACACTTTTGTTTTTCACTCTTGGGCTGATGAAGCTCATTCCTCTCATTCGCTGACAGCCATGATACATTTATGAGTTGGCTGTCAATACTCTGTATGACGTTATGTCTGTCAAATTAGTTGCTTTCCTTCTACATAGTTTGCCATTCTGGTAAGAAATTTGAACGCGTTCTAGATAGTTAAAGAAAATAAAGGAGATCCGTTCTCACAAGTCAAATGTAACACTTGCGGAAATGACTGATTTCTGTTTGAATTTGTGGTGTCAGATATTCAGCCGACTAGTTGAAGCCATCGCCACATAACCCAAATGATAAAATATGAGGCCGGCAAAACCATGTCAGAAGTATATTTCTAAGTATTACAGAGAAGATAATAACTAACTTGAGTAGAATCCACTTCTAATTAATGAGAGTTACGATGGTTTGCGAACACTAAACTTCAACATTGGACAGAGAGTGGAAAATCTCTTGAGTAGGAGGTATTTCACGAAAATTATTATGTCAAAATCTTTTTCAACCAGTAATATGAATTATTCATGAGAAAAAGTTTTCGCGATGGCCGATGTGTTTGTTCAGTGAAACTAAGTCGTAGGGCGGTGGACCACCTTCTCAAATTCAGCCATATTGGTAGGCGTCTGGACGTTTGCTAGGATGTCGGCAGAACGAGAAGCCCTTGTATACCGTGCGAAGTTGGCGGAGCAGGTTGAAAGATATGATGGTAAATTATCTGGATATTAGCTTCTGATATCATATTTGATGCATTTACTAACGGTCACTTAATTATTTAACAGAGATGGTTGAAGCTATGAAGAAGGTTGTGGAGGGTGGTGAAGAGTTGACAGTTGAGGAACGTAATTTGCTCTCTGTTGCTTATAAGAATGTCATTGGATCTCGGCGATCATCTTGGCGTGTGTTTAGTGCGGTTGAGCAGACTGAAGAACGCCGAGGTAACAAGGACAAGCAAGCTGCTGCAAAGCGTTTCCGTGAAGTTTTGGAAGGTGAATTAGACCACGTATCCAAGGAAATACTGGGTCTCATTGATAAATACCTGATCGAATCCGCGTCAAAACCTGATTCAAAAGTTTTCTATCTCAAGATGTAAGTTATTCATATTGCTGAATCTTGGCTTTTAGGAAAGGTGATTATTACCGTTACATGGCGGAGTTCTCCGTCGACCCCCAACGCAAAGAAGCGGCTGTGAAAAGCGATGATGCTTACAGAGAGGCCTCAGATATTGCTGCAACTCAGCTGGCGCCAACTCATCCAATCCGATTGGGATTAGCTCTAAACTACTCAGTTTATTTCTATGAAATTATGAACAACCCAGTCAAGGCGTGTGACCTTGCACGTTCTGCATTTGATGATGCTATTGCCAAACTAGACCAGTTGTCAGAAGAAAGTTACAAGGACTCCACTTTGATCATGCAGTTGCTACGAGACAATCTAACGTTGTGGACTTCGGATCCTGAGGGAGAAGGTAAGTCTAAACACTTGTCTTAAAGTGATACTCTGTAGAAGATGCAAAGAAAAACACGGACGAGAAAGCCTAATGCTTGGCCGTGATTGATGCTGGTGCTTGCTACCGTGGCCAGAGTTGCTTTTAGGGATAATTGAATTTTCTGACATAACGTCCCCGAGAGTCATGTAGGTGCACACCAGTAGTGCAATCTATCGTTTTACCATTTTACTTTTTTGTTTCAAATTATTGCAAAGTTCTCTTAACATGCTAATTTCTATATCTTCATGGTTATGTTCATTTAGGTAGTCATTGTATCATCTTTAACTATTAATACTATTACAAATCCTTAAAAGTTGACATGTTGCTACTATCTGTCTGTGGCAGATTTTTCATGTTGTCTGAAATTGGTCCTCACATATACAAATCCGAACACGTATTATTTTGTTCGGATAAACATGTATTGCTTCGTTTCATAACCTCACTAAGGAGATTTTACGCATATTTTATCTCAAGTTCTACAGAAGCGTATGTATGAAATCATTTTGCTTTGTATTTCTTTCTTTTCCTAAACATCCAAGTTAACTACTTGGCATATAAATCTATTGAATATAACCACAGTTGTGCATGCTTTCACTTAGCAGATGTTATTTGGAGAGTAGAGCTAGGTGATTAAGTATTGTTAGCATATTCCATTTGAAGTACCTACATTTAGTGTATCGAAGTATAAGGCTGTCTTATGTGCTGAGAAACACAAGGTCGTATACACAACACTGGGGCTAATAAGCAGAGAGGATTTTGCACTATTGCCGGTTATACAAGTCATAAATCATATTCTTAATATCGTTGGCTTCCCCTCGACACGGGTTCGTCTGGCTCAGGCTTCCGCATGATACTAATGAGTGGTGGAGGATTAATGTTGTCGCAAGCAGGAGCTGTCAGGGGTTTCGTGATTTACAGCACTCACTCTGACATTAACACTGAACTGATCCACGATCTTTTCTGTGGGTCTAAGTTGGAAGTTTGGGTCATTGTGTGAGGATAACACGCTTTGTTTCACAAACGTCATTTGATTTCGCTCCTATTCAAGTTTAGTAGTACTTGGCATATGAAGTATGCCCATATGCTCTCATCCTAGACCCACTTCTGAAAAGGACTTCAAACTTTCGTGTTGAGTTGGCGTAGCAGTCCGGGTCAGGCTAGGGTTTGTAATGTGAAAATAGTCTACCCGTTCACTCTGGCATTCACTGGCCTCACCTTTCTGTACTCATTTCTTGGGAATGATTTGTGTCATTACGTCTCGCATACTGAGTACCAAGTTAGCTCAGAAGTCGTATTATGTTGGAACCCCTCAGTTGTATGGGCGTTAGATCCCAACAACTACTAGTCAATCTTCCCATTGTTTCAGCCTATTCCAATTACAACAAAGGGTAATCTACCTACTATGCATTCTGGTGTTTCTAATAGACAGGCACTACAGGCCATTTATTTTGCGACAAGAACTTCACTCAGTTACTGAGGCAGAGTTCAGCGCACTTTACAAGTCCTTTCGAGTAGACGACTAAGTGCGTTACAAGTCTATCTGTTTGCAGATGGTAGTGGCAGTAAAATTCACTATTTGGCGAAAAGTTTGTAACATGAGAGTAGCCTATCTATTCACGACGGTATTCATAACCCCCCCCCATTTTGTTCCTATGCTAGCGACTCAGTGGCACTTTTGATGACGTATTTCATCTCAGTGTGCTGCTTCACTCTCAGTCTACCATCCTTCATTAGAAACTTGACTGCCTTGTGTTTTGTCCATGAGTGTCAAAGGTATTGCACGGCTGAAGTGCAAATGAGGTCGGGATTCTGGTGAGGTGCACTCCAGACATAAAAGTAACGGTCGAAAATGCCTAAAATCTCATCTCATGTCTTCTCTAAGTGTTTTAATGGTTGAGTACTTCCATTGCCATTTGTGATGCAGATGTTGATAACCATGGGTTGTGTTAGTTGCCACGACATTTCCTACCCGGAAAAGTCAATGTTCGTGGGGCTTACTGTTCTACTAACTGACCTCTTCATATAGAATCGGGTATTAACGTCGTGTTGCCCAGTATAAGCCATTAACCATTATTGATGAGGGATTTGACGTTTGGTCTCCACGACTGCCCCTTCAAAGTATCTTGGAACTTCAAATGGGAGTCATCTCATTATGATTCGCAGCTGGTTCGTGGTCGTCTTAGAGACATGTCCTTTTAGGTCCGTGGTCCTCCTGAGTCTACGTCGTTCACAAATCAAAGCAGACGGTAACGAAATGTTTGCACCCGTCGTTTCTAGTGATGTGAGGGTTTCAAAACCTCGAAGATAGCATAGGCTTCTAGATTTCGACAGGCATGCTCCTAGCATAAAAATGGTATGTTGGCGAGACCATTCCTCTGCTCTCAAATTTGAATGCTTCGTGATTTCCGAACAGCATTAAACTAGTTCGTAGAACATGGAGATTGTAAGGTTCTCTCGCTTCTAACCCGTGCACAGTAATGGTGAGAAATCATCACAAAGTCTGATTGCGCTTTTATTAATGCGTGAAACTAGGCGTCATCTCATCTCCGATTCAGACCAAGTAAACGCTCGGGAAATTTTACATTTGTTTTGGTGCGCGCAGTTTACATAGATGTTCCTTTGGAAGCATCACTTCAGGCGGTACCGATCAACTTAAACCGAACTCACTAATGCGTTTATTTTTACACGAGCGAAAAGTGTCTCAACTTGGCCGTAGTGTTAGCCCCCAAAAAATTGCTGAGACAATATTAGTTTGAGGGTGTCTATATCTATATCGCAAACTTAGTAGTAACTCGCATTGAGGCGTTAAAATGTATGAAGGTTGATTTTGAACATAATATTCGTTACATAAACATGTCGAACTGTACTGAGAGTTCGGGGCAAAATGTGTCAGTGGCGATTTATTCCGGTCACAAGAAAACGTTTTGCAAGATGAAGTTGATGTTTGCCTATTAGAGTAAAGTTAAATAAGCGCATTTCTTCCTCAATGCGAATTCAAAAAGATTTGCTGACATAAAATGTCGGGCTGTGTTGAGTTCAAAAGCTCTCATAGGGACTGTCTATATATAATCTGTAATCGTATGTGTGCGGATGGTCAAGTCTTACACTTAGGTTACCACTTATCCCATGTGAAACATTCCGGTGGTAATTAATGCTGCGTGGTAAATTGAACCATCACCGCACATTTTAGTGTTTCTTGATCATATGGACGGCGTTAGGTTAACTCCAGCGCATACTTTTTCGATATCACTCCCATTTAGGCACGTATAGAGTGGGTCCTTAACTATCACACTTTGTGTCCACAGAGCGACCTAGGGTGGTATCCTAATTACCCTTTAATACGAGATGTACATGGTTTTCAATATTTTCTAGTACGAAACTACGCCTTGGTTGTTAACATTGCTGCTGAATTAACTACAAAGCTCGGTAACACTTGTTTTTGGCAGGTCGACACCTATAAGCGTACGAGTTTTAAATTTTAGAGGGGCACATACTAAGGATTAACAGGTGTAAGTTCGTGTAATTGAGATCCACAAGTAGCCATGACACTATGTATAGGATTGAATGAAGTGCAGCACATTGTCAGACTCATAATACCTGCATGGGCGTCGGCATACTAACCATGTGGACTAAGTGTTTAGTCGAGAGCAACAGCTTTGAGCAAAACTGCCTAGATTATGAGACCCAGTGCGCGAATGCGAGAGACTGATCAAGATAACAAGCAGACGACAAACAGTCATAAGCCCAGTGTAACATCAGTCTATGTTAATGAGCTTGCTAAGCCAATGCTACTCGAAAAGTAGATGATAAATTTCGAAGGTAGTCTGGAGGTAAAAGTGAACAGTGGGACGTAGGGAATCTCATAAATGAGGAGAAGAACAACAAAAAATAGGGTGAAACTGAAAGGTAATCTGGTGAAGAGAAAGTACGTCCATACTAAGTAGTGTACCAAATGAAGCCGGAAATGAATATAATAACGAAGAGTAGAGTACGAGGGGATTTTCATAGGTTATTCGGACATTCGATAAATGTGTGCCTGATTGAGTACAACTTGATTCAAGCCATCATCCGACAGGGGTTACGTAAGGTCAGTAGGTATATTTGTCGCTATCAGGGGCGGAAACTAGCCGGTTCGAGTTCGAAGAAATAGACGACAACCGCTGTCAGTTTAACGAATTGCAGACGTACAGAAGCCAATCCGCTTGCCTCGACCTCTCTTTGACCATTTGAATAACTAGTCAGTGAAACTGTCAATATCACCAAAAACCGTGGTCGTGATTACACCATTAGAAAAGGGGACAAGCAAACATGCGAAAGCCAACCAACTCCAAGGTTACATGCAACGGGTTAAAGACATCGGCACAAAGCTACAACAAGATGGGGACGGCCACGCCCAAGGCTTTCCGAAGGAGGGACAAGTGTGGCGTGCGCCACTGACAAGATTCCCCAAGTGGTACATAATGTGTGATGCCTTCCGCAAGAATATTGAATAGTGGATTCATTGGCGAACAGGGGGAGTGAAAAATCCTTGTGGGAGTATATAGAAAGCATATGATCAAGACAAGAGGTGAACAATCCTAAGAGCGTGAGGTTCCAACGTAAGGTTTCTGTATCTCGCTACAACTGCGCACCATCTTGTGAAATAAGCAGTCCCGTTACCGAATACTGCAGGGATGTGGCGGTACACACGATTGAACTCAATCTCGCTGTGGCGTCATCCTTCATACTGTAAGTAATTAGCTTCCGATCGAGGACCACGAATGAGCACAGGTTCACACTCGTGTTGTCACGGATACATTCAGATGGACAGTATTGGGATCGAACAAATTCAAGTGAGAGCTCGAAGTTGGAAGATACTTAGTGTTGTGTGTGAGGATGAGTATGTGTCTCTACTACGTAACGCGACCAGCCTCACTGTGCTCAACTTAGAGTAGTAACAGTTTAATGAGCGTCCTACCTAACTTGTAGCTACTTATGAGTCAGGAATGGGAAAGACTCATTTACTCACAAGAGCAATGTGTCCACATAGAACGAAGTTTACGTTTATTTTGGTGGAAAAAACTTTCGAACCAGCATAGCTGAGCTAGGGAGACTGAGAGTGCATGTTTACCAACCCATGGATAGCACAAAATGCCATCAGAACCTCGTCGGATACCTGCTTTATAAGACGAAACTTAAATCATCCTAAGCATCTGACGGGGGTCTAGAAGTTCATTAGGTTAACCCGATTTCTGGCACACAACTACGTGTAAACACACTAACACCAGAGCCATATGTAGTCCTAGTTAACTGTTACTTAAATGACAGATATCAGTTGCTCACATGCGGTCTGTGATTTATTTCTCAGAGGAGGTTCAGAAGCGAGTGATTGATTATTTATAGTAGAAATGAAATGGTATTGTACAGAAGTAAATGGAGTATGATACAGTCACCGGTAAAAAAAGATTTAGTATATTATAGTGTAAAGTAAAGTTACAAAAGATATTTGGTAGTCAATATTATGATAAATTAAGTTGCTGTATTTCATTCAGCACAATTCAATGTCATGAAGTAATATTTGAAACTAACTGAATATTATTATTAAACTGAAGGCATAACACGAAAGAAACGGAAATATGTACATCTCAGTGTTAATGAGTAACGGTACTTGGTTAATTTATTACACAACTCTTGCTAGTAGTCATATGTATACTTTCGCTAATGCATCTGATCCTGCACTAGCCATATAATGATGTGTTGGATGAAATGCAACGGAATTGATGGCTTCACCAAACTTTTTCCGATGACCAGTTATCTCCTGAACGCATACTTTCGTATTGATATCCCATATTCTAATTGAACAGTCATGACCTGAAAAATGATAAAATGCAATTGGTACAAAGCGCGTTATTTGTAATGATTTCAATATAATGTGATGACGTATTGTCTCACAAACATGAATGTAGTTGTTAATAAAAACAAGCAGGTCAGTTGATTAAATTAGGGTTGCAAAATAAATGAAATTAAGTTTTAAATGAATTCTGGATATACAAATTTGTATATATTATGAAAATATTTTTCGTAGACGTGCATGTGTATAAAAACAATTGCACTTCTAGATGTTTAAGATTCGATAGATTTCTAAAAAAAAGGCAGCAACATTACTCGCATACCATTTCGTCACTCTTATCAACTACCCGTGTTAATATAGGAAGCGACACAATGTTTAATTGGATAAATTTGTCACATAAACATCTTAAGTGCGCACTTATTGACCAAAACATAAGTGAAACTTGAAATGTTAAGATCACCAGAAAATTATATCTAACGTAGCTTGTGAAATATTCATGAATATTCCCCATCGATTTTATGGACGACTTAGCCGGGGCTTCCATGATAACGACATGGAGCCACCAGTTCACAGAACTCCTATTATTGCCAACAAAGTGTGACGACGCGCGTACAAATGTAGTTATTAAGAGAGTATACCCGTTTTTTATTGATCCTTCTGCATTTCCATCCAATGTCAGTCCTTTTACAATAATTAGTGCTATTAGTCTGTGACAGTATTTCCGCTGCAAACGTGTCGTTGACAAACGCCTTGTATCCTTGTCACCTGGCAAACATTTCATACTCTAGTACTAGTCTAACGATAGCAGCACACCAATCCACTCTAACTGAATCTGCAAGGGCTTCTTGTGGATATCTAGTTTTTAGTCTGTTCATAAACAACTTAGGCTTTAATGTTGGGTGTTGACTTCCGAAATGCTCAATGACATTACTATAAAATAACATCAGATCTCGCAAAGAAATAATGACTCATACTGTTCTGGTCCAGCCGTTAACAGCTATTAGTATCGTAGATTCCCAGTTTACTTCCAATCTCAACTAGAAAAGATCATCACACCTTCTTCCTCTTCACAGGCTTCATCCATCATCTTAGCCAGGAAGAAATAGCACCACTCAGTTACCACCGACTAGACCCCATCACCGAGCGTCAATGCGTCATGCTCCCTCATATCTTCACCACCCCCAAAGCTTTGAGTAGGGCCACACGATTCTCCACATTAGGCTTCGTCTCTGAATGAATATCGGCAGGTTGAAGTGAGACCAGAAGATGAGCGAAAGTCAGTTGTCTTGCCAAATAAGCTGTAAAATTCTCGAGCTTTGTAGTCTGAACTATCCAGTGTCGTCTCTACAGTCCAAAGACTGGTATTAGACGAATTGGTACCCCATAAATGTCTCATCTACCTGGACTACATAACTGTGTTCGATATTCACTGTTTCTCAATGATTGATGATCAGTTCAAAAGTATAAGTTTCATATTATTATTATAAGTGCTTTCCACATATTTTTGTACAATGCAATTAATAACTAATCGTTCATTGTTACTTATTAGTCTGGGTCAACAAACATTTACTCTAAATTGTATCGAATTATAAGCAGTGACCTTAGGGCTTAGAAAAAATTAATACTACACACGAATAATAAACTTATCTTACTTGCTGAAAGAAGTGATGTTCCTTTAGCATCTACACTGATTGTTGTTACTGCATCCAAGTGTGCAGTTAGCGAATGAACACATTTACCACTGAGTGAATCCCAAAATCGGATTTGACGGTCTTCATGAGCACTGATTATTAATGGGAGATGAGGATGCGAAATGATAGAATTCACTGAACAAACCGTTTTACTTGAAACAGCATCATTTATATCTATTAAGACCAAAAAAGAAGTAAGATATATTATAAAATGATATTCAATATATTTTTGCTGCACATGAAGATTGAATGAGTTTTAAAAAAAGCAAGAGCAAATATGGGTTCTCATCAACTGAAGTTCATATAACGAAAATCAATAATATCATAGTAGATACGGTTAACCCGGTAAATTGATTCCCGATCATTAAACAATCATTTATTCAACGGTGCAAGCACTACATTTTAAGTGCGTCGTCATCCTTTCAAATATAAGTACTATCTGAGATAGCTTTGGATGGACAGGCAGTTATTTGTGTGATGTGTAATGGTTGAGTTGAAGGTGTCATGAAAATCTGGGTCGCGACAACATGCGAATCAACTGCCTCTGAATTACTAGTCTGATGCTCTACCAGCAGTTGGTTGATTAAATACACATACCAATCTGTTAATTGAGGATTACCTTAAGTAGCTTAACTAAAAATGAAAACACGACAAACTTTATGAAAGTTCACAAAAATTGTCAGCATTAATATATACCCTGACAACCCATCATATATTGTTTAATGTTTTAAAAGTAACCTCATGTACAAACATTATATAGATTACATTAAATAGTATTTAACTGTTTTACCTATTGATTGAAAACTTCTAACAATTTGATTAGTTTCCAAGTTGAATATACACAAATGACCGGAAGTGAAGCCCGTAGCGAAATACATCTGATTGGTCCATAAAAATGTAGCAGATGTAGGAACTGAGTTCTGTGGAGATAGACCATCGTATTTATTTAACATGTTACTGATGAAATACACATCAGAAGAATAGTATGAATCTGGACGTAATTTCCAAAGACGAGAAGTTCCATCGGCTGAAGTTGATAGCAGTAATCCATCATACTACAAGTATGCAAAAGCAGAACAAGTGAAAGGTGAATTGTTTCATAAATTTTACATTTTGAAGATACAAACTGAAATTTTTGATGCCAACGTGGTTTCTAGATCCATCATAAACTAAACTTTCAGTGATCCAGTTCAGACACTACTTACTGATGCCCTTAAGAAACTGTTAAATATTAGGGAATTCGATTGCATAAGGCATACCGGACCACAATTCTATACGCCTACAAATTCATTATTTGGCCCTCCTGACTAAATAAAGCTCAAAAACCTGTGGAAAAAACCCCACTATGTAATTAATTACTTGCTCTATCAGTTTTTCAAAGTTGGGTTCGATGTAATGATGGTATATTCATTGGCTTACCGCATACCTGAGAGGGTAACCAACGAATCACATATCTTTACGTGGTTCGATCTCTACACTACTGCATATCAAGTAAGCTTCAGTTGCATTCTTAAGTGGAAGCAATTGCATTCAGGCCTTCATGAAAGTAAGCAATCTGAATCACTTGATAGAAATAAAATATAAGTACACAAAGTATGAATATGTATAGCAAACAGGTCAACACAACATACTCTTATCTTTTCAGACTTACAAGCTCTGAACTATTGAGAATCTTTCTTAAAGGAATTTAGCTTTGTACCACAGAACATAACTGTTAATTTTTTTTATATAGAAAGCTTAATACTTCTTCTTCGTTCGAACACAAACGCAATGTGACTGAATACTAAGAGACAAGTTGGTAACTCATTTCAGAATAATCTAGACCCGATGCATCCACATATATATAAAAAGAGATTTCATCATTCCCATGACAATGTTTACGAACTGATCATAATATCAAATGTAGGTATTTTCTAACTACAAACTGCAAACATAATTCAATAATGATTTTAAGAAGCGTAACTTGAATTTCAAGGCTACATTGGTTATTTGAAACGAAAATTATATTTCTTAGCGAACTCTTTTTATAATCACTTCAGTAGGCTTTGCCGACTGAAGGTTACTCAAATATCACATTACAACAAATGTATCCAAACATGCACTAACTAGTTCACTCATAATCTTATGTCATTTGAACAAATTAGCAACATACCGTCGGTTCTACCTTACAATGTGATAATTCTAGTACTAATCATTGACAGTTTCATTCAATAGTGCACAAACTAGTCTTTGCTGTTTTCTTAAACGACTGACTTTCATTGAGCAGTACATATAAGTTGCCATCTTTGACTTGTAGTCAGTCATATATGCGAATAGCAAGCTGCAGTAAAAATAAATTTCCCTTTAAATATATTTAAATATTTCCTTAGAAAAAAAATGATTTATTATATACACACACAGTCTTAAGTGTGCGCATAAAACCGAAAGTACATACACGGGAGCACAGCGACCAAACAGCATCAGTATGACCTTCAAGAGAACGACCCATTACTGATAAATCAAAGGTATCATAAGGATCCATTTGTAAACTGGATACATGCCAACTACGTATACAACCTGATAAGTCACTAGAATATATGCAAGCAGGCGATAGTAGTCCAGATTGACATGTATTCTCTCCTATCGCTGAACCAACAAGCATAGTAACTGATAAGACTGGTGAATTGTGTCCACGAAATGTGTATATCTGCAAAAATAGAAAATGATAACTGTAACACATTCTGTTAATAAATTAACACGTATGAAAAATATTGTAAGTATCATTCGGATGGTAGATATAATATCCAACATTATCCTGAACAACAATACGTATATATTTAATGATCAAAATTTCTCTCAGATCCAACAAAATAAATTAAGCTTATGAATTTATTCTTTCTGGGGGTGAAATAGGACTAATCATATAAAATGACAGGTAGCTTGTGGTATATAGTTAGCACTCTCTTTTGAAACTAATGCAGGACATTTCAAGATAAAGTAGAATAGAAGAATTTCACATTTCAATAATTAATCATGATAGGTTTCACCTTCATTTTTAGAAATGAGTATCAGAGAACAAAAAACAACAAAGCAAGATGATGACACTGATACAAGTAGAACGCTCTTAACATCGACTGAGGTATGTACCTCTAATAATAATAATTAATCAGTTAATTAGATACTATGAATTACCACTTAAGTAATATACAAAAATGGTAAAGAGAGGCTAAATATTTAGAAAATGTGATGAGTTGTGAAATATGTATTGACAATTAATTTGCTCAACAGGGTATAGTATAATACATGTGAAATTTGTCAAATTAAATGAGATCGCTTATTCAAACAAAAACAAAAAAACAACAACAACAGTTAAACGAACGTTCAATAAAGCCATAAGGTCAAACATGTATCTCTTAAGTTTATCACTATGGTAACGCATTTATTAGGTAAGAATGCAAATAAAGCATCCGCATTATCTCGGAATATACATAAGGATTTTAATGTATCTTAGGACGCAGACATCATATCCCGCGACTTCCTTACGCAACTGTAATCAATCAGAGGTGATTTATTTCAAGTGACTGAGTTTAGTGTACACCTAAAACATCTTAACTAATGCTCAGCAAACGAATGCATGAAATGTAACACATCGGTCCTTAATACTTCAAAAAAACTATACAAGGCATTATTCTCAGAAGCGTGTCAAGTCCGAAAGGCAGATAATTCAGTCAACCCACATATTGTTTTATTATTATTGATTATTTTATTCCTTTGCGTTTCGAGTAGAACATAGAGCTTCCAGCATGAGCTCTGAAGATCCAGTAGCAGTGGTATTTTTTAAGGGGTGGGGTTGCTATCCTGACGCCCAACCTTCACTTTTTATCGGGTTTACAACCGACTAGGGGAGGTAAAGTGTGCGTCGGTGGCATAGCGGTTAGGACGCTTGCCGACCATGCACATGGTCCGGGGTTCGATCCCCGGCCGACGCACTCCTTTACCTCGCTAAGCCAGAAATAATGCTGGTGAAGAGTAAAGGTTGGGCATGAGGCTAGCAACCCCATCCTGTAAAAATAAACATTGCTACAGAAACTTCAACCTCGCCTAGATTACTAGGTCACTAGTATTCTAGCCGGTCCCAAGCCCGGATAAAGAGGGAGGGTTGGGGCGTGGTGCTAGCAACTCCACCCCCAAAACTTAACCAAATTGCTACTAAAACTTCAACGCACAAATATATTCAAAATTCTAAAATTACAAATAGTGACCTTATTTTTCGCTGGAATCGGGGAAGTGAAATGACGCGGGCTGGTGAAAGCCTTCGGGAAGCCAGTCAGCCGATGTGCCTTCTTTCGATGAAAGCGAAAATAAGGATGGGGACGTGGAATGTTCGTACAATGTACGAAGCTGGGAAGGCTGCTCAGGTAGCCGCAGAAATGAGGAGATATAGAATAGAAGTGTTGGGAATCTGCGAGAGCAGATGGAACGGATGTGGAAGGAGCCAACTATCAACTGGAGAGACAATAATCTACTCCGGTCACCCAGAGGACAATCACGAGCACACCGAGGGAGTAGCCATCATGATGTCACCAACAGCAGCCACGGCTCTCATGCAGTGGGAACCAATCTCCTCCAGGATAATGACAGCCAGGTTCAACTCAAAAGGAAAAAAGGTTACAATCATTCAGTGCTACGCGCCTACAAACGCCTCAGAACATGAGAAGAAGGAGGATTTCTACAGTCAACTACAAACAGTAATGGACAACGTCCCAAAGAGCGATATCAAAATCCTGATGGCCGACATGAATGCGAAACTGGGAGGAGACAATACAAGAAGAGAACTCACCATGGGTCGCGAGGCCCTCGGTGAAATGAACGAAAATGGTGAACTCTTCTCAGACTTCTGCGCCTTCAATGATTTGGTGATTGGTGGCAGTGTGTTCAAACACAGGGATGTACACAAGGCAACATGGATTTCACCAGATGGACACACCAAAAACCAGATAGACTTCATTTCAATCTCAAGGAAGTGGAGACGGAGCCTACTGGACACAAGATCGAGGAGAGGAGCAGATGTGGGTTCAGACCACTATCTGGTACAAGGGACTTTCAAGGTGAAGCTAAAAGCCTCCAGGATACCTGGGGATAGGCCACAATGCAAGTTCAACACTCACAAACTGAAGGACACAATCACACAGGACATTTTCACTGCAACTGTCAGAGCAAAGCAGGAAACACTACGTGGCACCACTGAGGAATCATCCGTGGAAGACCATTGGAACTCTCTGAAGGTAATTTTCAACGAAACGTGCTCAACGGTTTTAGGAAGAAAGAAGAAACAAGACAAGGAATGGCTCTCAACAGACACTTGGAAACTAATAGAGGAGAGGAGAAAAGTGAAAGAGAAAATGATTCAATGCAAAGATGGACAAGAGAAAGAGACGCTGAACTCAACTTACACAGCACTGGACAAAGAAGTGAAGAAGAGTGCCAGGAAGGACAATTCTACGACAACCTGGCTACTGAAGCTGAGAAGGCAGCAGGCAAAAGGGACCTGAGGACACTATATCAGATAACCAAGTCTCTATCCGGGAAGAGATCAACACAAGTGAAACCTATAAAAGACAGCCAAGGGAACCCAATTACCAAAGAAGAAAGACAGATTAAACAATGGGCGGACCACTTCAAAGGACTCTTGAACCGACCACCACCTACAACCCGTCCAGTAATACCAACAACAGCACGTACACAACTGCAAGTTGACACCAATCCTCCAACGAAAACTGAAGTCATGAATGCAATCAAGCTTCTGAAAGCTGGAAAAGCAGCTGGACCAGATGGAATACCCCCGGAAGCACTGAAAACGGACCCAGAAACGACGGCAGATATGCTGACTCCATTATTGCAAAAGATCTGGAAAGAGGGAAAGGTGCCTACTGACTGGAGGAAAGGTTACCTGGTGAAACTACCAAAGAAGGGCGACCTGGGACTCTGCAAGAACTGGCGAGGAATCATGCTCCTGTCGACGCCTAGTAAAATCCTGAGTCGCATCATCCTGGAGAGAATCAAGGACGCGTTGGATACAGAACTCCGACCAGAACAAGCTGGATTCAGGAAAGGCAAATCATGTTCTGACCAAATTGCAACTCTACGCATCATCATCGAACAAAGCATGGAATGGCAATCAAACCTCTACCTCAACTTTATAGACTTTGAGAAGGCCTTCGACAGTGTTGACCGCGAAGTAATTGGGAAACTACTCGAGTACTACGGCGTACCGCAAATATTCATCAACCTTATTCAACAACTGTACGACAACGGCACATGTCAAGTGATCCACAACGGAAAACTCAGCGAAGCGTTTGGAGTAAACACAGGAGTCAGACAAGGGTGCTTATTATCACCAATGATATTCCTAATTGTGGTGGACTGGATTATGCGTCAGACAGTGGGAAACGAGAAGACAGGGATATCCTGGACCGACGTGAAGAACCTAGAAGACCTGGATTTTGCGGATGATTTATGTTTGATGTCACACAAAATCGAAGACTTACAAGCAAAAACCGACAAACTGATCGAAGAAGCAGCAAAGACAGGACTCCAGGTGAACATAGACAAGACGGAGGTTATGAAAATAACCAACCAACAACAACAACAACAGCGTAGCAACATCCAGTGCCAATCACCATCAACGGGAGGGATTTGAAAGATGTTACTTCTTTCACTTATCTAGGGAGCATTGTCTCAACTACAGGAGGAACGGACGAGGATGTCAAATCGAGAATCGGGAAGGCGAGAAACACATTCATCAATCTGAAACCAATCTGGAAATCTTCGTCACTCACCATCAACAACAAAATTCGGATTTTCAATACAAACGTCAAGTCAATTTTGCTTTACGGATCAGAAACTTGGCGGGTCACCAAGAATATTTTCAACAGGTTGCAGACCTTTATCAACAACTGTCTTCGCTCCATACTGAAGATTAGATGGCCAGAAAGAATCACAAACAAGAAGCTATGGGAACAAACGAAACAGGAACCAATCGCCCAACAAATATGCAGGAGGAAGTGGAGATGGATTGGACACTCGCTGAGAAGGCCGTTGAGTGACATCGCGCGTCAAGCCCTCGAGTGGAACCCGAAAGGGAAGCGGCGAGTGGGACGTCCAAGGGTGACATGGAGGAGATCGTGTGAGGAGGAGATGAAACAGTATGGAATAACATTGACGCAAGTGAAAAGAACAGCAGAAGACAGAAGCAAGTGGAGACGTGTAGTTGAAGCCCTATGTTCCACTAGGAACCCAAGGGAACAATAATAATAATACAGAAACTTCAAGTCTCTAGCTTGAAGACCATTGTATCCATCCCTAATCTCACAGTTAATTTCATTACTTATGATGTTGAGTATTCGATCAGATTGTTCTAAGACGGTCGTGGAAATGAAAGGCGCCATTCACGTAGACTGTTTTCTTTATCAACCTATTGATATTTACATATACACAAAGGCAAGTAATTTCATATTTCTAAACATGATGTTTAGTTTAATATATACTTACCGGTTCAACATCAAACATAGAGGATTTCTTGGTTTGAATAGTTTTATTTAAATTCCATAATTTCAGTGTATGATCTTCACTGCATGTAACCAAAATTGGTTCCGTAGGATGGAAAACAATACCTCGAATAGCATCGAAATGACTGCGTAATGTATACTTGGCTGTCCAATTTGTAGGTTTTTGCGTTGAGCTTGTATTTACTGTTGAATTATTGCCGACTACTTTCTCGTTCGATTTATTTGTTATACACTCTCCCATACCATCTAAGTTGTCCATTGCTACGGCTACTGCACGCGCTTGATTAGAATCTAATTCATTTGCCATTGTAGTAAGACTGGCCAAATCTTCTAGTCTTAAAGTTGATTCTTTTGTTTCAGTTATATTCTTTGACAATACTTTTGTCGCAGTATTATTATTATTATTATTCAACAAATCATTTTTAGACATATTTTGTCTACTACTTTCCTCATTGATAATAACTTCAAAATCAGGCAGAATATTGCTGAATTCATCTTCAGGCGCATCAAAATTTGTAGGTTGACTACACCGACTGGATTGTTTATTACTTGAATCATCTTTATTAAGTGAAGTTATTTTCACATCGGTATCTTGTGTGTTGTTTGAAGTGCCTTTCAAATTCATATCAGAAATAAAAGTGGAGTGGTGAAAAAGGCGCGATGTGGCTACAAAATGTGTAGTAATCATCATAATGATAATAATGATAAAGAAATTAAAACTTCCTACAATACCTTGCTATTTAATCAATTTTTGCACTGAAAATCATAGTTACATGAATTTAGAACAATACACTTATAGATAGAAGTTAGATAAATCAAAGTCTGATTCAAAAGTTTATGTTAACTAATGTTTCATTTTATAATTTTTACACTACACAATCAAGTGTACACATAACATTATCAGCTATTAATGTATATTGATTAATTAAGTAATTTTCCGTAGACAAAAAGGAGACTAAGTATATTAAAATGAAAAAATCAATTTCGATTAAAGGAAACGTATAATGTACGTCCGATGTACTCTGGTGTATATTATAAGTAGAAGACGTGAAGTCAACTATCTTACAAGAAATAACTACACTAGTTTTGATTTCGTTACATGAGCTGACATTGGTTAGAGAACCATTGGAAAACCAGCTGGGAGTACTGGACAGTTGTTTCGTCCTTGTTTGGGACTCTTCATCAGTACGCACCCACCACTACCGTTCGGACCCAGGACCTTCTGGTTACAAGGCCAGAGAGCTCGTAGACCATTAAGCCACTGTGACCCGATTCAATGGCCAGTCCATGAATTCCAACTTCTGCCAATTCACGATATAGCGCAACCGCTAGCCAATGTCTTCGGCGAGTATTTATCCTCACACCCGACCTGCTGCAACCTACTGGTCACGTCTTCGCACTAGAACCCCAGGTAACTACCTATCTGAATAGGGTCAGTTGAATAGCAATGAGATGCTCACTGGCGACTGACCCTATTCAGGCAGTGACCTGGGGTTCTAGTGGGAAGCCGTGACCAGTAGGGTACAGCAGGTTGAAGATGAGGCAGTAACTCATCGAAGAAGACATTGCGAAATGGTCGCGCTATGGCGTGAATTGGCAGAAGTTAGAATTGATGGGCTAGCCACTGGACCGGGTCCCAGTGACTCAGTGGTCTACGAGCTCGCCTTGTAACCAGAAGGTCCTGGATTCGAACACTGGCAGTGAGTGCGTACTGATGAAGAGTTCCAAACTAGGACGAAACAGCTGTCCAGTACTCCCAGGTTTTCCAATGGTTCTCTAACCAATGTCAGATCATGATGAAATCCTGTAACCAATCAAACAAATCCCAACAAACCAATACTTGAATATTTTTGATTTCATTTGTAAGTGTATTTTAAGTGAGTATCAAAGTCTGACATTAATTATAGCCTATTCAGTTATCGATCAAAGGACGTGTGTACTGCGCAGCTGTTCACTCTGTCCTCCTTTATGGCTGTAGGATATGGCCATTAAAAGTGGAAGATATGAAAAGACTCGCTATCTCTGGCCACAGATATTTGAGTTCTGTCTGCCGTGCTAAGTGGCATAGTATGGTGAGTGATATTCAGGTTAGGCGTAGAGTGTTAGGTAAGGAGTATATAAGTCAACTGATGAGGCTGTGAAGCTACATCAACTGAGACAGCTAGGATATGCGCTACGCATAGCGAGCCATCGCCTTCCTCGACGAGTAATGTAAGCATATATGAAGGCTTAGGTTGGGGAAAAGTTATGATTGATCAAAAACAAAACCTGACATCAGTTCATAAAGTCTTTGACAGTTGGCTTGAACTGGCCACGTAGAAAGGGGTAGACTGCTTGGTTGAAGTCTTCAACTGCAACAAGATTCAATGGCTAGAGACTGTTAATGATATGGCTCAAAATCATTCTCAATGACGTGGATGCATTTGCTCTTTGTGATCTTCCATATCCATTAAGCCCTCATTCTTTTTCTTGTGACTATTCCTTCTCCCACACAATTCATTTTATTGTAATACTTCTGAATCTTTTTTTCTCTCTTTTGTATACTTTCGTGTTACATATGGAATATAGCAAATTGAATGGTTACTTCTATGTTAATTTCTGCGTTGCAATTCAGTCGGTCAGGTATATTATTATTATTCCCTTGAGTTCCGAGTGGAACATAGAGCTTCAACAACACATCTCCACTTTGTCCTATTTCCTGCTGGCCTCTTCAGCTGAACCCACGACTGCCCATAATCTCTCATCTTCTCCTCACACGATCTCCTTCATGTCATCCTAAGACGACCTACTCGTCGCTTTCCATTGGGATTCCACTCGGGCGATGGCCAGCATTGCGCGCGATGTCATTCGATGGCCTCCTCAATGCATGCCCGATCCATCTCCACTTTCTTCTACATATCTGTTGATCGACCGGCTCTTGGTTAGTTTGTTCACAGAGTTTCTTGTTGCTAATTCTTTCTGGCCATTTGATCTTCAGTATGGAGCCAGCGAAGGCAGCTGTTTCTAAAACTCTGTTACTTGTCGGAAAAACTTTTCGTGATGCGCTAGTCAAGTTTCAGACCGGTACAGAAGAACTGACTGACCGATTTCACATTTGTGTGTTGTTGAAAAGCCGAATCTTGTTCTTTACTCTGAGTTAGTGCAGAAGATTTCCAAACTGGTTTCAGGTTGATGAAGGTGTATCTTGCCTTTCCAATTCTCGCTGGCTGGCTGGCTTTGACATCTTCACCCATTCCACACCTGTGATTGGAATCATGCTTCCTAGATAAGTGAAGGAGGTAACCTCTGATAAACCTCCACCGTTGATGGTGATTGATGCTGGTTGTGTCAGTCAGGTATACTCGGACAACATCACTTTGTAAATCTATAAGCTTAAGCGAACTTCATAGAACAATATAAATAACTCTATCTAATTTAAATGATGTTAAATTTTATAAATCACCAGATACACTATCAATGTATTTAGAGTGTAAAAATTTAAATGCAAATCACAATTAAAAAGCATTAGACATGAGACAAGATTTAAGCCTTGAGTTAAGATCTTAGTTGATGACAAATGATTCGTTGCATACTTAATAAATAATATTAGAAAAGTTAGTTTATTATTAATGAATGAATACCTTTTAACATCAATCATATAGGTGAGAGAAAGAGAGAGAGAAAACCAAACTATTATGTAAAATACTAATTGGTAAGCATCGTATGCTTAAAGTTAGTCTGTATGTAATACATCAGAAAGCACGTGAATTTATTAGCAAAGAGCAACAAAACATCATAAGTGCTGTGTGAACACTCTGTAATACTCTTCATCAAAATTACTTCCCGATTGATTTTCTCCTGGGCTCTTTTTTTAACCACTTACAAACAATTACGATTGAGCATTCAAAAAAAAATGGTAACAGGCAATAAAAAATCTGTGAAACAAAAAGTTATGAAAAAAAAACTTGAATGGCAAGTCTATTTCAGAATAATTATTCAACTGAAAGAATACTTCTCCAATTTCCCTAGCAAACAATTCATCCATTCACACAGGCGCCAGGTATCCATTCCAGCGATATCACAGAACTTTGTCAAATTCGCTGTATAAACTGTCAAGTACCCTTAATTTCTAAATCACTCCTATATACAGTGATGTATTCTCTAATTATCTGGTTTGAATCTTCGCGTAACTCAAATTTTCACTTTTTAACCCCAATCACATCCTATTACGACACACCAATAGCAGTTTGCTTATTTAACGCTATCCATTAATTATGCTAATTTTATAACTGATGAATGGGCTTATGCTTAATACAAATGTCAAACAGTCGTTAACAAATGATACGCGCTAAACGTCAAATACGTGTGTGCAAAGTATACTAAATGAATGTTTTTTTACTTACTCCTCTTAGAACTGTAACCTACAGGACTATCATATAAAATAAAGAGGAATATTTTGATAATATGAATAAGACATCTAAACACAAATTATTTCAATAACCATAGTTGGGGCGGGGGCGCAGGGCGAGTTCAGAAAAAAGAATCAAAACACGATTTTTCTAGACGATGAGTATTACTAAGTCAACCAATTCTGAAACAACCTTATGTGAATCCTTCAAGTGAAAACTGATACATTCAATAAGGTTGTGAGAAATACTTATGACGCATTATACAAAATTAAGACTACCGCTGGAAAATGGTAACTCATTCTGTTCGTTTCCCTAATACGATCTATATCCTAGCAGTATATATATCATTTTATTATAGCTTGAAATCACATAGTATTTTGCCACAGGTATGGAATTTTCAGCAAGTGACATCGGTAGCCCAAATTCAGTAGGACAACCATTGCCGTCAGGTGTGAGTCGGACGGGGATCGAACCCCGGGCCATGTGCATGGTCGGCAAGCGTCCTAACCGCTGTGTCTCCAACGCACTTATATGTGAAATTAACGGCCACAGTGGAATGTAGGTGTGTAATGTAACCCGGTATAGTGAAGCAAACATTTGACATTACACTGTGGTCCTGAATTTTTCTCTAACTCTAGAATTGTTGGTTTGTCGTGTTCCCTGGCGGTATGATGATTGATTGCATTAGGTGTGACATAAATCCCAGTTGATTTCGCCAGGCTTGTCACCATTTTGGAACGTCGTTATATTTCTAACAGGAAAACAGCATTCGTAGTTGTGAAAAACACCAGTATTGTATTTTAATTAATACTCTTTTTTCTAACAGCTTAATCCGAATTATGACAGGATTTGTGCATGATTCACACAAACACACACACACATCACCCACAAACGTGAGAGGACAATAACTCTGCTCTAAGATTTCCTCCAAACCATAGTGCATAGTGCCTTATTCCTAGATTTTATTGACAGCAAAAATTTCTCAGGAATTCGACAAGGGTGTCTTGTAAGACAGAATTTTATAATACTGTGAAACAACTGACATGTTATTTGGTCGATGAGATAAGACGACGTATGAATTCGTACTGTGTCATTACGATTGCCTGTATTTTCTGTCGACACTCGGTGAATAGTTTCAGAAATGATTGATTTCCCGTAATACTCATAATTAAATTGGTCTGTGGAAGTACCCTATTATCGATAAACGTCAGGAGAAACATTCTTGAATATTTTGATCGGACACTAGCAACTAGTGTCTGGTGTGATGTGTCTAGTCGTTTGTTTGTTGCAGACTGAATTCTATCAGCGATAATCGGAATGTGGCCATCATTCTAGGTTTCTCGCCATCACGGTGCACGTTGTGATTTGATGATATTAGGTGTTTGGAGGCAGCAAAGAAAGGAGTAGAGACATCACACTAGTTACTTACTAGTGTCCAATTAAAGTATCCAATACAGTCCTACAAGAGGTGAATCGCCAGCCCGAATGTATATATATATATATATATATATATATATATATATATATATATATATATAAACTTCATTAGCGCATCATAATAATTGAGTCACTAAAGGTTTATTTAGGGATATAAGTTGTTAGTAATTATACTGATAGGCGTAAACACTTACTAAATTCCTTTAGTTTATATCCTTTTCTCATTATACTAATAAAAATAACATGATATACATAGCTTAAATAACATAATCTACATCATCCTAACAGTATAAATATAGCCTATACACAACACTATGTGTATACAGAGTAAAACGTGAAAAAAAACATTAAATCAAAAAAGTGTGTTGTATAAAGCGAAAAAAAATATCAAAGCAACAGTTACCGTGAACATTCCTATTCACACACACACACACACACAAAGTAAGACTCACCTTGAAAACGATCAGCTCTGTATAGTTCTTTGAAACGTTGTAATAATTCTTGTTCATTCAAATTATCCCAATCCTTATGTGTAGATTCATTCGACTTGATGATACTATTTACAAGATTGGTATTCACATGATCTGAGATATAAATATATATACATGTTGAAAATAAAAATACAAATTGACGGTGAATAACAACAACAACAATAACCAAGGCAGACACTGTCTGTTTTCTACTAAAACAACAATGCCAATAAACAAATGTCAAAAAGGGAAAAAGACGTCAGAGTCAAAAATATCACACAAAACATTCCTGCCTGCATGTCTGATTAACACCCCGTGTAACACGTATTGAAAATATCCACTCTTCTGACAGGTATAAATACTTTTGATTCTTCACAATTTTAACACACACCAAATACCCTACAAACCACTTGTGATAAACACTTAATATGAATAAGAAAGAAACTAGCTAACCATATTCAAGAATATTAGTTAGAGAAACGCAATCGCAAGGTAGCTTTCCACCTAGGTTTCGTACCAGTACGCACTCACCAGTCAGCAAGGCCTATCTCCACCCTTGTGGGGAATCATGACCCTTCAGCGATTAGAACCCGCGTCACCCAGTGCTGCAGTCAGAGACGTTACCACTGAGCTATTCGGGCTCGCGATTCACATCCTGTAGGACTGTATTGGATACTTTAATTGAACACTAGTAAGTAACTAGTGTGATGTCTCTACTCCTTTCTTTGGTGCCTCCAACCATCTAATATCATCAAATCACAATGTGCACCGTGATGTCAGTGGCTCACCTAGAATGGTGGCCACATTGCGAACCTGACCGATAGAATTCAGTCTGCATCGAACAAACGATTAGAAACAACATTAGTTACCAGTGTCCAGTCAAAAAATATTCAAGAATGCTTCTCCTGACGTTTATCGATATCAGGACACTTCCACAGACCAATTTAATTATGAGTATTACGGGAAATCAATCATTTCTGAAACTATTCACCGAGTGTCGACAGAAAATACAGGCAATCGTAATGACACAGTACGAATTCATACGTCGTCTTATCTCATCGACCAAATAACATGTCAGTTGTTTCACAGTATTATAAAATTCTGTCTTACAAGACACCCTTGTCGAATTCCTGAGAAATTTTTGCTGTCAATAAAATCTAGGAATAAGGCACTATGCACTATGGTTGGGAGGAAATCTTAGAGCAGAGTTATTGTCCTCTCACGTTTGTGGGTGATGTGTGTGTATGTGTGAATCATGCACAAATTCTGTCATAATTCGGATTAAGCTGTTAGAAAAAAGAGTATTAATTAAAATACAATACTGGTGTTTTTCACAACTACGAATGCTGTTTTCCTGTTAGAAATATAACGACGTTCCAAAATGGTGACAAGCCTGGCGAAATCAACTGGGATTTATGTCACACCTAATGCAATCAATCATAATACCGCCAGGGAACACGACAAACCAACAATTCTACAGTTAGAGAAAAATTCAGGACCACAGTGTAATGTCAAATGTTTGCTTCACTATACCGGGTTACATTACACACCTACATTCCACTCTGGCCTTTAATTTCAAATTTGTCTACACACAATTTACAGGAACTAATCAGTCGGATGGTAGTATAGGATATGTTGTTGGGCATAAGAACAAAGATGTTCATTCATTAACGGTAACATCTGTTTGCACAGCTTAGTAATACACCTTATTTAAACAAAGTGGAAACAAATGTTGGTGCAGAATCATATGAGGCCATCATTCTTTTCAGCTGCTTGTACAACCAGAAGAATATTATGCTCCACATAAATACTGGAAGAAGAAATCCTAAATATTGAGAAAGTTTTGAAGAATAATGGTGACCCTCCAAAATTCATCAGTAAGTATGGAAGATGTGAAAATCTAAAAGTGAAACAAGCCATAGTGAATAGAAAACGTATCTCCATCCAACTCTATTTTATAAGTGATAATATTGCAGGAATAATTAATTGAAGACTGAAAACTACTCCGGCTAGAGCTTCTCCCGCAGTCTAGCCAGTTCAAATTCACCAAACAACAAACTCTTTGGTACAATCAAAGGTTGATAGATACCATTCCCATATTAACTCTAATTGTGTATACAAATTTACATGTGTCTGTGGGAGCAGCTACATTGGGAGAACAGAAAGAAGAGCATATCTCAGATTCTCTGGACATGTACCAAAAGGTTTACGTCTCAAGGGAACAAATACTTTGAACAGTGTTATTGCCAGACATCTTGTTGACACGGACCATGAGGTGGACGGTTGGGAATCTTTTAAGATTATTAATAGACAATATAACTCAACTCTCCTCAAATTTGTCGAAGCAATCACCATTAAACATTTAAAACCTGACTTATATGTTTAGAATGACTCACCTATTAGTTGTTCTTCGCTTCGGTGAGTAACGTCTAATCTCTTCGTCTCAATTGATTGCACAATCTTTTACTTTCATCCCCCATTGTTCGCCTTAGTATAATTTAGTTCTTTTCGTTTCTATGAATTGAGTTAAACTCACTGCACTATTACTCATCATCAACTTCTCTCCTCTTGTCAGGACTACGCAACTCAATTTTCAGTGTATCCGACCATTAATTTTGCATGTCGGTATTCTGTTGGAATCTTGACCTTCTGCATAAGTTATATAAATGCAACTGGCAAAAAATGGAATTCTTTTATAAAGAGACTAAGAGAGTAACGTACAAAAATGCACTGCTGTTGTTGTTATTGATTGATTGCATTTCGTCACGCTCCTTTATTTACCTATTCATTGTTCTTTTCGAGAAAGAAAATACAAATCTCACAGTTTCGAATAATACCAAAGACCGAAAATAAAATACAAATCACATTTCACAGAGAAGATTCAGTGGAACTCTGTTTATCACAGTAATGAATAAGACCCTACTCTCTTTGTGCGTACTGTTTAAGTTGTAGGAAAAAAAAGTAAAGAAATATAGTTATCAGGAGAGTTGTTCACAATTTGGAAAATGTGAAAACACAACACCAACGAAGTCTGATCAAAATATGCGGTCATTTATGTTAGATGAATGTTGACCGGGTGGGAGACCGCAGTATCGATAGGAAGGAACTCATTTTCAATTTTTCTGCAACTCCGCCTAATCATTCAACTCTGCGGGTCTATTACACCTGAAGTTCGGCTGTCCGTTCAAAATTTAGAAACTTATCAGAATATAAAATTACCCCAAGAGATTGAAGGCCACTTAAAAAAAACTGTCACCACAGATCTCATGTCCTTCAGCGGTTGATTTAATTCATAAAATACTTGTCTTATATCCAAGTAAACGTCTCAGTACTGACCAGGCTTTAGCACACGACTTTTTCCACGAGGATCCGCCTCCAGGTGATTTGAGCTGTCTATCAAAGAATGGTGGATCGTTTTTAGAGTACTTAGGAAGATACAATATACTTGTATTGGTAGATTGTATCTTCCTAAGTACTCTAAAAACGATCCACCATTCTTTGATAGACAGCTCAAATCACCTGGAGGCGGATCCTCGTGGAAAAAGTCGTGTGCTAAAGCCTGGTCAGTACTGAGACGTTTACTTGGATATAAGACAAGTATTTTATGAATTAAATCAACCGCTGAAGGACATGAGATCTGTGGTGACAGTTTTTTTTAAGTGGCCTTCAATCTCTTGGGGTAATTTTATATTCTGATAAGTTTCTAAATTTTGAACGGACAGCCGAACTTCAGGTGTAATAGACCCGCAGAGTTGAATGATTAGGCGGAGTTGCAGAAAAATTGAAAATGAGTTCCTTCCTATCGATACTGCGGTCTCCCACCCGGTCAACATTCATCTAACATAAATGACCGCATATTTTGATCAGACTTCGTTGGTGTTGTGTTTTCACATTTTCCAAATTGTGAACAACTCTCCTGATAACTATATTTCTTTACTTTTTTTTCCTACAACTTAAACAGTACGCACAAAGAGAGTAGGGTCTTATTCATTACTGTGATAAACAGAGTTCCACTGAATCTTCTCTGTGAAATGTGATTTGTATTTTATTTTCGGTCTTTGGTATTATTCGAAACTGTGAGATTTGTATTTTCTTTCTCGAAAAGAACAATGAATAGGTAAATAAAGGAGCGTGACGAAATGCAATCAATCAATAACAACAACAGCAGTGCATTTTTGTACGTTACTCTCTTAGTCTCTTTATAAAAGAATTCCATTTTTTGCCAGTTGCATTTATATAACTTATGCAGAAGGTCAAGATTCCAACAGAATACCGACATGCAAAATTAATGGTCGGATACACTGAAAATTGAGTTGCGTAGTCCTGACAAGAGGAGAGAAGTTGATGATGAGTAATAGTGCAGTGAGTTTAACTCAATTCATAGAAACGAAAAGAACTAAATTATACTAAGGCGAACAATGGGGGATGAAAGTAAAAGATTGTGCAATCAATTGAGACGAAGAGATTAGACGTTACTCACCGAAGCGAAGAACAACTAATAGGTGAGTCATTCTAAACATATAAGTCAGGTTTTAAATGTTTAATGGTGATTGCTTCGACAAATTTGAGGAGAGTTGAGTTATATTGTCTATTAATAATCTTAAAAGATTCCCAACCGTCCACCTCATGGTCCGTGTCAACAAGATGTCTGGCAATAACACTGTTCAAAGTATTTGTTCCCTTGAGACGTAAACCTTTTGGTACATGTCCAGAGAATCTGAGATATGCTCTTCTTTCTGTTCTCCCAATGTAGCTGCTCCCACAGACACATGTAAATTTGTATACACAATTAGAGTTAATATGGGAATGGTATCTATCAACCTTTGATTGTACCAAAGAGTTTGTTGTTTGGTGAATTTGAACTGGCTAGACTGCGGGAGAAGCTCTAGCCGGAGTAGTTTTCAGTCTTCAATTAATTATTCCTGCAATATTATCACTTATAAAATAGAGTTGGATGGAGATACGTTTTCTATTCACTATGGCTTGTTTCACTTTTAGATTTTCACATCTTCCATACTTACTGATGAATTTTGGAGGGTCACCATTATTCTTCAAAACTTTCTCAATATTTAGGATTTCTTCTTCCAGTATTTCTGTGGAGCATAATATTCTTC